CCCCCTCCCCCTACCCCCCTCTGCGCGCCGCCAACAGTGGACCTGCTGGGGCAAGGCCCCCTGGGCACCTCTGGGGCCCCCTTGGGGGCCTCTTGGCGGTCTCGGGAGCCATCCTGGCACGGGAGAGCTCCCAGGGCCAGTTCGTACGCCCACTTGGGGGTCGACAGCAAGGAAAGCGTTACTCCAGATTTCGTAATTTAAGGGAGGGGGTCTGGACCCTCCAAGACAAGCCAGTTCAGACCTCCCCCGTGGGAGAACCCTCCAAAACATCGTCCCCAGACCCCCCAGGCCCTCCAAGATAGCCTGGAAGAGACCCCCCCCCGAAATGAGACCCCCCTCCCTTTATTACGAAATCTGGAGTACATTCTCATTACTTCTAGGTGAACCCGGCGCGACCCCAACTTAGGAGAAAGCCACCTAGTGACTAGTGCGTGGGCGCATGACGTGGCAATGCGTGGCATTGCTTGGCATGCGTTCGACCTATTACTCGGCATGGCTTGGCATTGCGAGCCGAAGCGGCAAGGAGCCAGGGTCCGACCGAGGAACCAGGACCAAGGAACCATGGAACCAAGGAACCACGACCAAGGATGCCTGCTAGACAAAGGAAGCAAGGAACCCAGACTAAGGAGCCACGACCAAGGAACCAAGGAACCAATGAACTAAGGAACCACGACCAAGGATCCTAGACAAAGGAAGCAAGGAACCCAGACCAAGGAACCACGACCAAGGAACCAAGGAGCCAAGATTCACCGGTCGCGTCCCAGTACTCGCAACGTGCCCAGTCGCAAGCGTCCGGACAAATTCGCACATGCTTGCCTCGATGTAATTGATGAAAATTCCCCGCGGCGAATCCAGGCAATTTGCGATTGGTTGTTTTGCGATGGTGCAACGTGAGGAAGCCAGCAAGGAAACAAGAGGAAGGAATCAAGGAACCCCGAGGAACGTTAATGAATCCCAGGCAAGGCCTGTCGTACCTTTTCGTTCGTAAACAAGTTAGAACTTCTCAGGCAACGCCTTATCAGGGCAAATTGCGTGACGAACCCTGAAATGGCCCGAGAGGGCCCAGGACTCTGGGCTCTGGACCCCTCGAAAATCATGGACTATAGCTATTCCCACGCAGATGGGCCTTGGGACACTCCACCGAGTGCCTCAGCAGGGTACGGCGGTGGATCAGTATTCAGCAGGTGGGCAATCGCAAGCAATCCCGCAGACAATCGAACAGTTACCCAGTATCAACGACCAGTTGGCACCAGTGAGTGGGGAAAAAAAACACAAAATATTAAATATTCACTGCGTGGAGCTCCCCATATGTGCATCTATTCGCATGGGCCTGTCCGCCGTGAATGTCTAGGCGCAAGAGCTTTCGAGTATAAACGGGCTTCAGTTGTGGCGGTCTGGTCATGCATCTACCTGCGAATGAATTGGAGTGTGAATGAGCCTCAGTAGTACGAGCGCGTCTCTGCGCATGAGCCTGGGGCCTCCTGGGGCCTCCTGAAACCTACTGGGGCTTCCTGGGGCCTCCAGGAGCCTCTTGGGGCCTCCTGGGGACTCCTGGGACCTCCCAGGGAGGCTTCGTGCCCCAGGAGAGGCCCAATCTATAGCAACCGACGTACATAAAACATTGCGGATTGGAGCCGCAGGAGAGGGGCAATCTATAGGAACACACGCAAAGCACCAAGGATTCGTGCCCCAGGACAGGCCCAACATATAGGAACATAAGTAAAACATGTAGGATTGTGTTCACAGGAGAAGGACAATCTATAGAAACATACGTACGTCAAATATTCGTGCTCCAGGTGAGGCCCAATCTATGGGATTGGAGCCACTCCTGTTGCTTTCTGAGGTCTCCTGCTCCTGAGGCCTCTCGGGGCCTCATGTTGCCTTCCGAAGTCTCCTGGCGTTTCCTGCGGCCTCTTAGGGCCTCCTGTGGCTTCCTGAGGCCTCCTGGAGCTTCCTGGGGCCTCCTGGAGCCTCTTGGGACATCTTGTGGCATCTTGAGTCTTTCCGTGGCCTCCTGATGCCTCCTGGGACCTCATGTGGTCCCCAAGGGCCTCCTGGAGCCTGTTGGAGCATCCGTTGCCATCCTGAGGAGAACCTGTGCCCACGAGTCTGCCCACCAAAACAACCAAACCGAACGAGACATCCTCAACATCTGGCCCACCTGGGGGGTGAACATGAGCGCCTCGCTTGAGACATCCTCAAAATCTGCTCCGAAAGCGAAAGGTGTTGGGACAGAAAGCAAGCAAACCGCTTGAGACATCCCCACAAAACGGCCGCG